TTTTAAAATTTGTTTTAAATAATTGTGAATGGTGCATACAGTAAGGGAGATATTACAGTCTTGTAACTAGCAACGTACTACAACCAGTGGAACATGAAAAAACCCTTTTGGTGAATTACTGTAGTTTTTTAAAAATATATTTGTGTACTGTACATACCGTAAGGGAGATATTGGCAAAATCTAACCTGTAGTAAGTTAGTCTTGTATCTAGCAATGTACTACAATATTGGAACATGAAAAAACCCTTTCCATCTTTTATATGTAAATAATTGTGTACTGTACAGATATGAATGGAGGTATTGGCAAAATCTCACCTGTAGTAAATCACTATGAGCAATACGAGTTTTACAATTTGACAGTGTGTGTTTTTAAATGTTAAAAGTCATTTTAATTAAAATACATTGGACGTTTTAACCCAGTCGGTGGAATTGCCAGATGGTCCCTTGCGTGCAATAGCGTTTCAATGCTTTCTCCGGTTTAAATTTGCAGCAATAATACACCTAGGCGGTTTTGAACTCCTATTTTTGTCAATATAAAGTGGTTGCATATTGTTAAAACTAATCGTGGTATTGATATCTTTGTAGGACTGTTGACTCTATAGATCAATGGTAAGGGAAAGCAATTATAAAGAAAATGCAGCGCGTTGCATTCTTCTGACCTCATTTGCTTGCCTGTATATAGTTCGCATAATCATCAATAAAGTGTATTCTGAGATCTTATAATATAAAGTGGTTGCATATTGTTAAAACTAATCGTGGTATTGATAACTTTGTAGGACTGTTGACTGACTCTATAGATCAGTGCGTGGTAAGGGAAAGCAGTTATAAAGAAAATGCAGCGCGTTGCATTCTTCTGACCTCATTTGCTTGCCTGTATATAGTTCGCATAATCATCAATAAAGTGTATTCTGAGATCTTATATCGCTGTATTAGTTCACTGAGGCGCGAGTCGTTGGGGAATCCTGGAGTGTGAAGTATGAGGGTAACCACAGTATTACAGCACAGCGTCGCACAAGCCATGATACAAGTAAAGGAAACTAAGCAACATGTCTTCCTCAGATGTAATGTTAGTTCTGTACATCAGCATTGGGTAAAATAGCATTATAATCTCCTATGTGGTAGAGAAAGCTGCTTACATGTAGGCTACGGGAAACAGCAAAGATGTTGAATTAAACATACACACAATCAGCTTTTCCACATGTTTATACTGGCCCCGATAATCAAAACGTCTACTTGGCGCTTGCTCCATTTCTGCAAATCAGTTTTTGTGAATGAGTGACTTAATCCACCTGTTGCTTTGGTCTTCATTAACAGCTGCTTGCGCCACCTGCTGGTGAGCGACTGACAGCAGCTGGAGATCATGCATTGGTGCTCTACTGCTATTCCTGCAGCTCCCGGATGTGCAGTGTCGAATTTTCTGTCGAATTATAACCACTGAATTTGTGGAAGCGAATTTGGAAAGTGAAATAAAATGGACCGAAATTTGCCTGTCGAATATTATACATCGTATTTTTAAACAAATTGAATATTTTGGAAGTGAATTCTGGAAGGTGAATATGAATTATTGAATTTTTATTTATGAAAATGTGTGTGAGATATTTTTAATTGAAATATTCACAGCTTAAATAGACAACTATGTTAAATTTCAGGACCTAAAATGCAAGCCCTGGAAATACAAGGCATTAAAATGCAAGCACTGTTAATGCAAAGCATTATTTTTTCAGTTAGTGCTATGCAACAAGCTTTTTTGTTTCAAAGACATGGCATTATTTTTCTTCCATAGTATGTACACTACTGTTTTTTATTTTTTGTATCAGGGTTTCCACAAAAACATTAAGCGGCAGCAAAATTGTTTTCAACATTGATAAGAAATTCTTCAAAAAGTCTGGAAAAATTCAGCTTTGCATTTTACATTTTAAAATGCATGAAAATAGAAAACGGTTATTTTAAATTTTCATATTTCAAAATATTGCTGTTTTTACTGTTTTTGATCAAATAATTGGTGATATTAAAAATCGTATTACCTCAAGCTTTTGACTTGAATCATATGTGACCCTGGAGCACAAAACCAGTCTTAAGTCGCTGGGGTATATTTGTAGCAATAACCAAAAACACATTGTATGGGTCAAAATGATCGATTTTTCTTTTATGCCAAAAATCATTAGGATATTAAGTAAAGATCATGTTCCATGAAGATATTTTGTAAATTTCGTACTGTAAATATATCAAAACTTAATTTTTGATTAGGAATATGCATTGCAAAGAACTTCATTTGGACAACTTTAAAGGCGATTTTCTCAATATTTAGATTTTTTGCACCTTCAGATTCCAGATTTTCAAATAGTTGCATCTCTGCCAAATATTGTCCTATCTTAACAAACCATACATCAGTGGAAAGCTTATTTATTCTGCTGTATAAATCTCAATTTTGAAAAATTGACACTTAAGACTGGTTTTGTGGTCCAGGGTCACCTATTCAAATCATAGGTGATTTTCCAGTCACTGATTGTTTTTGCTGGGTTTTTTTTCTTTCCCCAAGGCTCTATGGAGGAATGAACTACAGGAGGTTGGGAGGTGGCGTTGGTGTAATAAAAATGACTCACTGTGAATCACATATATGGTAACACCTACAGTATTCATCTCTCAGATGCCTCACCATAGCTCGTGCCTCATAGAGACATTGTACATCATACAAGAGGAAAGCCTGTTAAAAACTGAGTATTATACAGTTACTGAGATGGCAAAGGAACCATCTCCTGAAGCTGCTCCGAGGAGACTCACCTGGCCATAGAGCATCACTCCATTTTGTTTTTACATTTGGTTTCTCTTTCATACTTGAGAATACCCAAAGGCAATGTTTTGAAGAGAGAAACAGCAGCCGGAAAAGCATCAGCCAGAGCGTTTGTTTATCTGGAAGGAACTAGGCTTCTGCCGGTCTATTTGACTGCATTGAAGAATAACTACAGTAACCTGAAACGCACGTCACTGGGGATTGGTGTGAATGACGCTCGTTCTTATGAGCAAATGTTTCCCTGATTGATGTTCTAGTCTGAATTGGATGCACTGTGATATCTTTACCATTTCTTTAAGTTTAGGTTTTTATAATGAGTTGTACACTGAGCATTAACTGTTCCTCTGCATTTTACCAGATGTAAGCAGATTAGATTTTTTTTCTCTCTCTTTCTTTGGTGTACTGAAAATGCAGTCCCTCCTGAAACATTGCAATCTAATGAAGGCTGTAAAAGAAGAAAATAAGTTATTTTTGAAGCAGTCAAAAACAGGTTTGACACTATCAATTTGTTTACTTTTATACAACGAATGCATCAATGAACCAGTCCATGCACTTTAATCCACTAGAGTTTTTCTATTAAAGTTTGTATTATTTTTTTTTTTAAATATATATATATTGTTGGATGTATTGTTTTATGCAAGTATGGAGACACAAGATAAAAATTGATTTTTCATAATCTGAAATTTTAGAAAAAACTAACCGGTTTGCAGTAGTAGCCTGCACGTATGTTCAGAAACTTAATGTAGAGCTTGTTACAGAATATGAGATGAATCTCTTTGAATTGTTACAACTGCCCTTACTTTTTTTAAATGAACAGGACCGTTATGTGTTCTAATCTTGGTATTGAAAAATGGTTACAAAGTATATCTTCCATGATCTTATTTAATTTTAAAGATGCACAACTGTCTACACATTTCAAAACATTGAAAGTTGAAATAAAATATCCAAAGAAAAATAATCCAAATGTTTTCAGTCATTGAAATGGTGTTTATTGGTGATCAACCTTTTCCATGAGGTTTAGATCAGTGGTTCTCAACCTTCTTTATTCTGCACTCTAAAAAATGCTGGGTTAAAAAGGGACAACCCCAGCTATTGGGTTGTTTTGACCCTGCGGTCGGGTTCAAAACAACCCAATAGCTGGGGGTGTCCCTTTTTAAACCCAGCAATTTTTTAGAGTATGAGACCCCCACCCCCGTTCAAGACAATATTTTCTCTGGTACTTCTGCTGTAATGATGACAAAGTAGCTGGTTTTCAAACATTTTTATTACCGAAACTAGGAGCATCAATAGATTTTAATAATCAATAGAATTACCTCAATTTCAAGAACTCTGGTCTTCGCATTTAACATGTTTGTATAGTCATTTTTAGCATTTAACTTATAAGCCCCCTGTTTGAGAACCACTGATTTAGACTCCTTGAATTTAAATGTCCATTTTGGAGATCTCTTAAAATATAAAAAGAAAATTCAACTTAGATTTGTGCTTAATTGAGAGACAAGGTAACTCGGAATTCAAATACATTTTGTTTTGCACATCTTAGGTCCTTTTCTGATGTAAATGCTTAAATGAAGGGTGTTTTGAATATACACCAACAACAACAGTAATATGCAACAACACAAACAGTCCGTTTAAATCAATTACAAATAAGAAACCAATCACATCTACGAACTACCATTAGAACACAAACTTCTGCTTGCCTGTGCTACCTGCATGCTTTGTAAAATGTTATACATTTAGATTCTGACATCGTTGGCACTGCTAGCAAAACGTAATCAAATAATTACAGAGGCCCTGAGACAAATCAACCAAAATTAAGCCACTATTCATTTGGTAAAGATAACAAATACCCCCAAGTGATTTGCACACTTTAAAAGGTTTGTATAAAATATAAACATATGTTACAATATACTAATAGACATATTATTAATGCCTATTTGTGTGAACTATTTATAAGAACCTATACATGTAGTAGTAATACATTTACACATAGTTGATAATCAGGTTTATTTGTGATAAATGAGTTGAATCACATTAATGTAAGCCTAAGACTGATATGTTATTTGTCTTGATAAAACTCTAGCAAGTTAAAGAAAAGAAAACAGGCATCCGAAAACAGAATAAAAAGTTAAATTTTTAAAAGCTGGAAAACAAACAGACATATTTTACAGCACAAAAAAAACAAATATGAGACAATAAGCTTTAAAAGATATCAAAGTTTAGAAAAAAAAACAACAACCAAAAAACGTATTTACAAATCTAAATAAAAAGCAGACTTTAGGTTGGCATTTTCAAAAGAGCAGATTCTGTCAGCAGGGTAAGTAAGGTGGTGATGTAGTCACCGTTTCCAATCTGAAAGAGAGAAAAATTAAGTTACACAAACAAATATGAATGCAACCCACGCTGTATATACAATGAATAGATATGACACATAACAATTACCTTGATTTTCCCATCAAGATGTGCTGATCCCAGAGCGGTAGATACTTTTACGAGTGTACCAGCAGACAGGTAGATCTTAAAGTGTCGAAAAAAATGAGTCTCCAGCCCGTTGATGAAAGACTGGACCTCTTTAATATCAATCTTGTCGTCTGTACTCTCCTCTGGGTGAATGCTGTTCCAGAGCTCCCACGCATCCTGTGGGTTAACTGTATACGAGACATCCAGGGGTGGCTGTGTCGGAAGGCTCCAGGCCAGTTTCAGATACCTGATATTGCAGGTGGAATGGCAACCAGTCCACAGAGCAGCCAGCCAGTTGAGAGTGGTGGAGTTTAAAGCCAAAGAACCAAAGTTGCAATCAAACGCCCTCTCGAACCAGGATTTAACCAGGGTTGTAAGAGACTCCGGTCCGCTTGTGCAAAACAGAGGTAAGCTGACAAAATCAGGAGGCAGTGACCTCAGGTACTCCGGATCACCATTGACGCACGTGAGCCAACCGCGCCAGACAACCTTCGGTGCATCTGCAGCTGCAGCAAATACCGGTTTGGACTGGATCTGAGGGAGTAAGAGAAAAATTTACACGAATGTGGCATATTTATATGCTTCCATTCAAAAGTTTGATCGGTAAGACTTTTTGAAAAGGGGTCTCATATGAAGAAGTCTCTTATGTTTGTCAAGGCTGCATTTATTTGATACAAAATACAGTAAATATTGTGAAATATTATTATTTAAAATAATCTTTATTTTAATATTTATTTTCAAATGTAATTTAATCCTGCGATGGCAAAGCTGAATTCTAAGCACCCATTACTCCAGTCTTTCTTTCAGAAATGATTCTAATATGCTGATTAGGTGCTCAAGAAAGAAGTTCTTATTATTATCAATGTTAAAAACAGTTGTGCTGCCTAATAGTATTGTAGAACAGCTAATTTTTTTTTTCAGGATTCTTTGATGAATTTTAAGTTTGTGTAGCAATGTCAATGTATCGTGACATCAATTTAATGCATTATACCGATTAAAAAACATTTCTGAACCCAAACTTTTCACATGACCCTTTAGAAAGGATTCTAAAATGCTGATTTGGTCCTAAAGAGTTATTATGGTTGAAAACTGGGTTGCTGCTTAATATTTTTATTTTTGTGAAAACCATGATGCATCTTTTCAAGATTCAGTGATGAATAGGAAGAAAAGCATTTGTTGCAACATAAATGTGTTACTTTTGATCAATTTAATGCACGGGTGGGCAAACTTGGCCCTTCCAGGTCACTTTCCTTCAGAGTTTAGCTCCAACTCTAATTAAACACACCTGAACCAGCTCATCATTGTCTTCAAGACTACTAGAAGGCTACAGGCAGGGGAGTTTTATCAGGGTTGGATCAAATCTCTGCAGGAAAGTGGCCTGGAAGGGCCAAGTTTGCCCATCACTGATTTAATGCACCCTAGCTGAAAAGCATTTATTTCTTAAAACAAAAATGAACTAATTACCAGCCTGTTCAGGCTTAACTTACCTGAATGAAAACAGTCTCAGCATCCTCATCGGTCTCAGCCAGTCCAAGAACTGCAGTAAATGTCACCTTAAATCCCACTTCTAACCCGACTTCAACTGCAACTCCTTGCTGTTTCTCTGCTGCGATGAAGGCTGCGAGGTGTTTGGAATATGATTTCAGTTGTGTATGTCTGAAGTGATGCAAAGGGGTGACGTAGGACAGCTTCCACTCATTTTTCACCAGAAGAGCGATATGCTCAGGGTCAACCTTATTCTGTAGAAAAAAATAAAGACATTTGACACTCAATCCACTCATCATATTCAATATATACTCATATTCACTCAATCATATTGAGATATTGAATGAGTCTTTTGAGTCCATGATCTCTTACAGTGATGAGTTGAGATCTGGCAGCCCCTCTACTGGTTGGGATCTTCAAGACTGTTAAATGTCCTGGTGTTTGCCAGAAATATGAGGGTGCTTCCACACAGCTCCGACCATAACTTTTGCTTCTACGAGTAACGGGTCTGCTGGCGGGAGTGTTGACGGCACTGCATGGGTAAGTTAATACAAGCAACAGATATAGTTATTTATAACGACTCTACTACTAATGGAACCAACAATGATCAACAACTTCTGTTTTAATGACAAAATATGTTATATGTCGTAAGTGTACGCTTACAATACACTAAAGTTTGGGGGTTTAAACCATTTAATCAAACAACTTAATCAGAAAACTTCAGACCACCGCTACTATTAGCATTTCGCTAAACCAGTGCATGATCCATTTTCGTTGTATTAAGCGAGACGCGCATTACGTGTTGTGATTCAAATAAAAATTCTGCGAGACAAACCGTTTTACGTTTACAATCCTAAATCTGTCATACCTGCCTCTCCCCTCCATGATGAACAAAAACACACCGAGCCAAAAAGAAAAAAAGCAGGAAGAGGATTTGAACATCCCGCTTTCCCGTCGTGCAATGGGGCGGGGCAGGAATACTAATCGATTGCTGCTAGTAAGAGTAATATGCATCACATATTTCTACATTTAGTCGACTCTACATCATATTTACCAAGATAAGCAAATGGTGTTGATAGACTTAATGCTACATACATATAACAAACGTTATTTATTGTCATGTTACAAAAACAATACATCGGCTAGTTCTAATTTGATTAGTTATGTCACAGCATTCAATGCGCCGGAGGGACTGTAGCACACGGATACAGTTCACAACTGTCATAATTCAGAATGTCAGTGAAAAGTCACATGGATTAAGATTTTTTTATTTAATTCAGTTATTTTTATACGCTATGTGAGGCAAATTGTATAGGTGTTTGTATTCTGTTGACCGACGTAGGTATAAGATTAAGGAAAGGAGAGAAAAACAAAGGTGACCGTCAGTCTTGCATTCATTGCAATGGTGTAACTGCATTTATAGATCTAGACTCGCGTACACTATGAAGACATAAACAAAACATACACAATTATGTGACAGCTCTGAGAAGTGTCTTTTTATTTGGTAAAGACAACAGAATACATTTAGCCAGAGACACCACGACCTCGCATACAGGACGATGGCAAACAAACACAGATTCTTTTTTCTTAGATCAGCCCAGCAGGTATTGAGATGTCTGTATAGCAGAAGATCAGTACCTTCCATCAGTCATATGTATTTAACAAAACCATCTCTACCTCCAAAGTCGTTAGCATGGGCTCATAACTTCTCCAGAAACTGCTCTACTTACTCATCAGGTAATGTGACCTTCATTAAACTAGACAGTGCATTTGTAATAGCCTTTATTCAGTATGTTAAGTGTGATATTTCTAATCTGTTTTGTGTCTTGTAGGTCAAAGCAGCTTGAGAAGCCACACATGTGGAGAATTGTGTTGGAGTCATGTAGATGAAGAGGTTACTTTATGTGGCTGGGTTCAGTACTTGAGGTATGAGACACAATGCTTATTCTTTCAAAAACTCACTGAGCCACATCACTATATCAGACAGACATATCTGTACTTGGCTCTTTAGGCAAGATCTTTTTGTGATCTTGAGAGACTTCAGTGGATTGGTGCAAATTCTTATCCCACAGGATGAGGTAGCAATACACTTTTATTACATATTTTATGTCTGATCATTTAATTCTGGTGCTGCTACCAACATATGTTGGTTCATTTGTTGCAGTAACATTTTCTCGCCATTACTGTATATTTTTCTTTGACACTTTATTTCTTTAGTCTAAATCTGAATTGAAGAATGCTTTTCTTGGTCTCACTGTGGAGTCCGTCATCATGGTTAAAGGAAGGGTCAGGCGTAGACCAGAGGGACAGGAGAATAAGGTCTGTTCATATGCACAATAAAGAGAAAAGTATGACTCTGTGTTCAGGGTGACGTATGTGTAAAATTGTAATTTTTATTCAATATTAGAAAATGTCCACAGGAGAAATTGAGGTCTGTGCTGAGAGCATGGAGGTGTTGAATACCTGCCGAAAGCTGCCGTTTGAAATTAAAGAATTTGTCAAAGTAAGTAAAAATAATTTTGACTATATAAAAAAGTGTTGCATGTATAAAATTTCGAAATGCATTATGTCGTAGTTCTAGTTTTGCCTACAGTAGTTCTAGAGTGAATCTCACAAAGAACATAACATGGTCATATTTCCCTACAAAATCAAGTGGGAAAAAAATGAATACCATTCAAAAGTTTGGGTTAAAGTCTCACCAAATGCTGTGTTTATTGTTTTTGTCTTTTACAGTAAACAGTAATACTGTGAAATATTATTACAAATTAAAACCACTGTTTTCTATTTTAATATATTTTAAAATGTAATTTATTCTTGTGATGACAGCTGAATATTCAGCAGCCATTACTTCAGTTTTAAGTGTCACATGATGCTTCAGAAATCATAATATGCTGATTTGGTGCTCAAGAAACATTTCTTATTATCTATGTTAAAAACAGTTTTGCTGCTTATATTTTTGTGGAAAACAGGATACATTTATTTCCGGATTCTTGAATGAATAGGAAGTTCAAAAGGACTATATATATATGTTTTTTTTTAAATGTAAAACTGTTTAACTATTGGCTGCTACTTTTTATCAGTTTATCACTTTTGATTCAGTGTCATGAAAATTGTTACAATGAAAAAAAACTTAATTGGCCGAAAAAAATGAATACCATTCAAAAGTTTGGGTTAAAGTCTCACCAAATGCTGTGTTTATTGTTTTTGTCTTTTACAGTAAACAGTAATACTGTGAAATATTATTACAAATTAAAACCACTGTTTTCTATTTTAATATATTTTAAAATGTAATTTATTCTTGTGATGACAGCTGAATATTCAGCAGCCATTACTTCAGTTTTAAGTGTCACATGATGCTTCAGAAATCATAATATGCTGATTTGGTGCTCAAGAAACATTTCTTATTATCTATGTTAAAAACTGTTTTGCTGCTTATATTTTTGTGGAAAACAGGATACATTTATTTCCGGATTCTTGAATGAATAGGAAGTTCAAAAGGACTATATATATATGTTTTTTTTTATGTAAAACTGTTTAACTATTGGCTGCTACTTTTTATCAGTTTATCACTTTTGATTCAGTGTCATGAAAATTGTTACAATGAAAAAAAACTTAATTGGCTTAAGAATGTGAAAATGTGAAAGTGTTTCTTGCCAGTGTTTGTGAAATTCAACCTATGTCATTTACCGTGGAATAACCAATGAATTTCATTCCAGATGGATGTTCTTTTCATTATTTATTTGAGGTTATGAATTGCATAGAGTAACACTTTGTTGTCCAAGTAGGACAAAACATGTTTAATTATAATTCTTATGTTCACCTTGAAGAAATCTGAAGTCCTCCGGATGCAGTATCGGTATCTTGATCTTCGGTCGCCCAGGATGCAGTACAATTTAAGACTGAGATCACAAATGGTGATGAAAATGAGGGAGTTCCTTTGCAATTTGCATGGTGAGGATTTACAGTGGCATTTTCATACTTGTACATACATCTGTTAATGTACTGGAATACTCACTGAACATTACCTGTCTTTTCCCAAGGATTTGTGGATGTGGAAACACCAACATTGTTTAAGAGAACACCAGGGGTAAATATTTTTTTCTGTATAAACCAAGTGCCATTCTTATAACCAAAATATAAGGCAAGGTGCTAATTCAGATACAAACTATTTTTGTTTCATAGAAATCGTTGCACATTTAATCAATATGGAATTGTTAAGAAAAATATATACATGCATAATATGTGCTTGCAATTCAAATGCACTCCAAATTAGGGCTGCACGATAAATATCGCACAATATTTAATGTGCATCTCGTCAGTAAAGCCAGTTCTGTAATCAGAGGTAAATCTCTACACGTGCATGCTTTCACGTGGAGCAGCATTAACTACACACAGCTGTTGTTCACAGACAAGCTGCGCAAAACCACGATCATATTTTGCGCAGCTTGTCTGTGAACAACGGCTCAGTTTAGTTAATGCTGCTCCACGTGAAAGCACGCGATAGTTATCGTGCAGCCCTACTCCAAATGACTTCTGGAATTCAGAAACGTGGCCATGAGTGTTTATTTATTTGTTAACTTTGTTAAACTTCCAACATTGTAAATTGCACTCATAAAAACGAAATACAAAGATAATACCTGCTGAGCCAAATCCAAAGAATGAGAGAAAGTATGAATGCAGAATGTAGCTTGACTAAGCGAAGCATAAAACGTTTTGCAATTGCAGAAAGGTTGCATTTATGAGAGCTTATTTTACACTGCACAATGCTTCTATAGTGACTCATGCTTCTGTTTCTTGTCTCCTGCAAGACACCCCTGTAAGGCTTGCCCAAACATCAACAAAATACAGCTGGTGCAAATCGTTACCCAAAAATTTGTGAGCAATCACATCACTCTGGTTTCTTGACTAAGCGAAGCATAAAACGTTTTGCAATTGCAGAAAGGTTGCATTTATGAGAGCTTATTTTACACTGCACAATGCTTCTATAGTGACTCATGCTTCTGTTTCTTGTCTCCTGCAAGACACCCCTGTAAGGCTTGCCCAAACATCAACAAAATACAGCTGGTGCAAAATATTGCCAAATCGTTACCCAAAAATTTGTGAGCAATCACATCACTCTGGTTTCTTCTCTCTGGCTTTGTTGTTCTAAGAACTTTTACATCTGTTTTCAGCGAATGGACTTTTAAAACTTTTAAAGCTTTGATACATGTGTATGAGCGTCTTAATGCTACTCACTTTATCTTGGTAGCCCCGCTGTTACTGTACACTTCAGTTTGCAGAATAAATTAGCAAACTGAAGCTCGTCATGTGACATGGCAGCCACAATAACACTGTATAACTGATATAGGCTTATGTTTTATTTAATTTTTTTCCTTTTTATTCAAAATATTTCCAAACGTGTTAACTATATCAGGAAATATCTTGATTCTCAAACATGTGTAAGTAAATGCGTTTTGCACCAGATTGTTATTTGATCTATAATGGGTGATGGGCAAAGTTGAGTAATAGTGTAATCTATTAACTACACATAAAAACCTGACTTTTTACTTAAGTACCAGATATAGGTGTCATGCCATAAAATATTTTTAATACGACTGACTTTGTATTTAATGTGAATTTAATGACAATATTGTAAGTTACTATATATAACATTTTCATTTTACAGAGAGCAAAGAACATTTACATTATCAAAAAACATTTTCACGTCAGTCTAGCCAGAGTTCAGGCACTCTCAAAAACTCCCATTTAAATCACAGAAGCTGTTTACACTCTGAAATGAATATCTTAACATTTGTACGCTCATCTGCACTTTGTTATTTATAATTCAGTCAGCGAAAACTGAACAAAAAGTGATGACTCATCTGAACGCCTCTGATTGGCCATTGCATTCATAAGCTCAACAGAATCGTGTGTGATTGGTTATAATGCAGCACTGTATAAACGCGTCTGTCTCTGGCTCAGCGCCAGCCAAAAAGCGTGAACGTAGATTTGAATTTAGTAGCTGAAGCTGTGCCGCACTGAACGATCTAATCACACCAGTGTGATTGTATCAAATATAAAAAATATTATTCGGCTATTTTTTGTCTTTTGGAAGCTGCATTTAAAATCCACTTGGCTCAGAAATCTGAGGCGGCACGTGCTCCCTCACTTTGAATGGGCATGACGCCTCTGAATAGCTTAAATATGAAAACCCAGATTTTTACATTTGGAGGTGTTAAATAACCTTCTATCCTACATAGGAGGACTTCTCTGAATACAAAACCCATCTATGTTTTAAAAAGAAGTGTAGATAGATAGATAGATCCCACCCAGAGGCGGACAAAGTACTCAACTCCATTACTTGAGTGAAAGTACAGATACTGCTGGTCAAATATTACTCCATTACAAGTAAAAGTTGTAAAGACAGATTTTTACTTAAGTAAAAGTACAGAAGTACTTGCTTTTACTTAAGTACCAAAAGTAAATTTCCTTTTTTATGTCAATGCACTGTTTTATTGTCGTACATAATACTTGCAATACTTCTGAAGTAACTTAGAATACATTACATACCTGCTGAATACACTGACTAGCTTGTAGTATCTTTGGAATAAAGAGCTTTTAGAATGTTAAAAACCTTTGGGGGAAAAAACCCCATAAATAAATGAATATTTAACACCCCTACCCACCCCCACAAAAACAGGATGGTAGTGATCTCACACAGCTCTGACAGTGTGTGCACACATCTATGTGTAACCATTCATCCACATTTGAAACAGAGTGGACAGTGAAATCCTGTAAATACAGAGTGATAAAAAAGAAAGAAAAATCAAACCTGCTTTAAAACCCAGCAACACAACTATAGCTGTATAACTTTACAACAGCAGCACTGCTTTAACAAAAAAGC